TGTAGGAGACGAGAGGATTCATTTCCCCGTATTTGATCGGATTGTGATCAACCTGAGGGCTTTGGCGAGGGGATGTAAGATTCTTAAGTGATCCTTTGCAGAAACTACCCCCGATACTAATGGATCGGAAATGGTTTTCTCCCCCTTTACAATCTCCTTGTCGGCCGACGAAATCGAGCATGAGGTTGGATAAGAATGCTCTCACGCATATTGGATACTCTCAAGAACAATTATTATGAGAAATATTAGGTCTTCTTGGCCGAACCTATATTATTCTCCGGTGTTATTTATCTTCCTTTATCTCTTTTATTTTCTAATTATTTTCTTTACTTTGAATTTACTTTGCATATTTTCAACTATTTTATAAAAAAGTTTTAAAGTCTGATTTATTAAATGATTTTGTTTAAAATCATCATTTTTCAAACCTCCATAATTCACCCCCTCTTGTGTATGAAGTCATATATCCAACAAGTGGCATCAGAGGCTAACTCCTGTTTAAAGACTAATTGTCTCAGGAGAGATGACTTCCAACATTTCTTTTAACAAGAGGATCTTCCTAAACAGACCTCTATTATTTAATGGTGATATGTTTGAATTGTGGAAAGCTAAATTTAAAATATTCATTCAAAATTTTAATTTTGAAATGTGGAAACTATAATCAATAGTCTGTTTATCCTACTCATTGTGTTAATGATGAAGAAGTAGATAAACCTAATTTTTTTGGACCATAGAAGATAAGAGAAAGTTTAAAATTGACTTCGAAGCTAAATTTTTTAGTCATGTCTTTAAATGAAAACCAATTTCTTTGTGTCTTTAATTATAATTCTGCCAAAGAAATGTGAGACACTCTTGAAATGATGTATGGAGTATCTTCAAGTATCAAACAAGTGAGAATGAACACACAAGGCAAATAAGATGAATGTAAATGTTTCTTTCACAAATGTTTTTCAAGAAATCTTGGAAGCCATGTTAGAACTTTCATGACTAACAAATATTTGAGAACGAAAAATTGAAATGAGAAACTTGATCTTAATCCTCAAATCGAGAGATGAGAATGTTTACGATTTTTAAAAAAAATCCAAGGAAGAAATAATTTAGAAATCCAATGAGTTGATTAAACTTTTAAAAGATGTAAGGATACGCTCGAACCTAGAAGAATCTCTAGCAAAATCATCAAAGAACTCTTTTAAAGAAGAAAAAGAAAAATTAACTCTAGTAATTTTCTTTGAAAAAAAATATCAGTGATTAACAGAAATAATTTCCTTTGAAAGAAAAAGATTCAACACCCAATGTAAAAACTTCATCAAAAAGAAAATAGGAAGAAAACCAAATTTCATCCCGTAGAATCTAGAAGTCTTACGAGTAGTAGTATATCTAGAGAAAAAAAAATTTAAAAAAAATTTCTTCTAGTGAAGGAGTTGAACAAGTTTATTTAAAAGTCTCTCACCAAGAGACTCATTATGACATAAATCAAAATTGCTAGTTGCACCTTAAAGTTAATATCTAAGAACAATATATGATGACTTAAATTTTTTTAAAGCTTTTGATGTGTTTTCCATCCTTCTAAGGCCCTCGGAATTTCAAAAGTGTTTTGGAAGCCTCCTTGAAACTCGTAGATCAAAGCCAACTATGATGGAGAGCTTTTCTGCACCACAATTCAACTGCTACTTGTGGGGCAATTTTAGGAACAATAATTCTTTGGTAAAATTTATTGAGATTGTTATGTGGGGCAATTTTAGGAACAATAATTCTTTGGTAAAATTTATTGAGATTGTTATGGATGATAATTAGACTAAAATTTGGATTGAATCTTACTCCATTTTTGTTGTTAATGCTTATTTTAATTGTAAATTATTCCTTACTCCATTTTTGTTTTTGTTGTTAATGCTTATTTCAATTGTAAGTTAGTTCTTTGGCAAATTAGGCATAAATGACAAGCTTAAGCTTGTATATTCTTTGTTTATTCGATTTTTATTTTATTAGAGAATATGTTAGGCTTGTTTTTGTTATTTATTTATTTTTAATTTAATTTTTTGTTTTGCTTTTGAGTAGTTTTAGCCTAATTTTTCGATTGTTTTGTTTTGTGTATTCGAACCTTTTTAAATATATTAATTTTATTAATTTATTAATCTATCATGTTATATAATTAATTTAAAATTTACAGTCTAATCTGACGAAATACATGAGAATGATTGATTAACTTTATAAAATATTATTCATAAATTTATAATTATTTTTAAATAAAAAATAAAAATGCCAAAGATAAAAAGAAATATCCTAGTTAAGTTAGCACTTGTTCATAACAAACAAAAAAAATACCACTTTAAAGTATATTCTTTGTTTATTCGATTTCTATTTTACTAGAGAATATGTTAGACTTGTTTTTGTTATTTATTTATTTTTAATTTAATTTTTTGTTTTACTTCAGTTTTAGCCTAATTCTTCGATTGTTTTGTTTTGTGTATTCGAACCTTTTTAAATATTTTAATTTTATTAATTTATTAATCTATCATGTTATATAATTAATTTAAAATTTACAGTCTAATCTGACGAAATACATGAGAATGATTGATTAACTGTATAAAATATTATTCATAAATTTATAATTATTTTTAAATAAAAAATAAAAATGCCAAAGATAAAAACAAATATCCTAGTTAAGTTAGCACTTATTCATAACCAACAAAAAAAAATACCACTTTAAAGTATATTTTTTGTTTATTCGATTTCTATTTTACTAAAGAATATGTTAGACTTGTTTTTGTTATTTATTTATTTTTAATTTAATTTTTTGTTTTGCTTTTGAGCAGTTTTAACCTAATTCTTCGATTGTTTTGTTTTGTGTATTCGAACCTTTTTAAATATATTAATTTTATTAATTTATTAATCTATCATGTTATATAATTAATTAAAAATTTACAGTCTAATCTGACGAAATACATGAGAATGATTGATTAACTGTATAAAATATTATTCATAAATTTATAATTATTTTTAAATAAAAAATAAAAATGCCAAAGATAAAAAGAAATATCCTAGTTAAGTTAGCACTTGTTCATTACCAACAAAAAAAAACCACTTTAAAGTATATTCTTTGTTTATTCGATTTCTATTTTACTAGAGAATATGTTAGCCTTGTTTTTGTTATTTATTTATTTTTAATTTAATTTTTTGTTTTGCTTTTGAGCAGTTTTAGCCTAATTCTTCGATTGTTTTGTTTTGTGTATTCGAATCTTTTTAAATATATTAATTTTATTAATTTATTAATCTATCATGTTATATAATTAATTTAAAATTTACAGTCTAATCTGACGAAATACATGAGAATGATTGATTAACTGTATAAAATATTATTCATGAATTTATAATTATTTTTAAATAAAAAATAAAAATGCCAAAGATAAAAACAAATATCCTAGTTAAGTTAGCACTTGTTCATAACCAACAAAAAAAATACCACTTTAAAGTATATTCTTTGTTTATTCGATTTCTATTTTACTAAAGAATATGTTAGGCTTGTTTTTGTTATTTATTTATTTTTAATTTAATTTTTTGTTTTTCTTTTGAGCAGTTTTAGCCTAATTCTTCGATTGTTTTGTTTTGTGTATTCGAACCTTTTTAAATATATTAATTTTATTAATTTATTAATCTATCATGTTATATAATTAATTTAAAATTTACAATTTAATCTGACAAAATACATGAGAATGATTGATTAACTGTATAAAATATTATTCATAAATTTATAATTATTTTTAAATAAAAAATAAAAATGCCAAAGATAAAAAGAAATATCCTAGTTAAGTTAGCACTTGTTCATAACCAACAAAAAAAAAATACCACTTTAAAGTATATTCTTTGTTTATTCGATTTCTATTTTACTAAAGAATATGTTAGGCTTGTTTTTGTTATTTATTTATTTTTAATTTAATTTTTTGTTTTGCTTTAGAGCAATTTTAGCCTAATTCTTCAATTATTTTGTTTTGTGTATTCGAACCTTTTTAAATATATTAATTTTATTAATTTATTAATCTATCATATTATATAATTAATTTAAAATTTACAGTCTAATTTGACGAAATACATGAGAATGATTGATTAACTGTATAAAATATTATTCATAAATTTATAATTATTTTTAAATAAAAAATAAAAATATCAAAGATAAAAACAAATATCCTAGTTAAGTTAGCACTTGTTCATAACAAAAAAAAAAAATACCACTTTAAAGTAAAATATTAACTTACTAAGATATAAAAATTAATTTAAATGTTGTTTACAAAATAAGTATAACATACAATTTAAATATAATACAATATATCACACCATTATTTAGTTTATTTAAATTATACAATAGAATACTATACAAATATTATTTTTTAATCAAATAAACATCAAACACGTAATAAATAAAATTTATCACATATGTATCTCATCTTAATTTTATCATATAAAAACTATTTATTTGATTTGTCTTGATCTTATCACGATTATCAAATCAAATAGAACTTAAATGTGTTAGTGGATAAGAATGTTCAATTAGACTTAACTTTGGTTTGAATTTACATTCCAATATTTAATAATAAATTGGTTACGGTCAAACATAAAAGCTAATAATACTATTTCATATCATTTAATTAATTTCTTTTATTATTTTTTATGTTCACCACTCAAACCTTTTAACATAAAAAAAATAAAAATAAAATATTTTAAAGTATTTAAAAAAAACAAAAAAAAAACAGAAAAACCAAGTTTGACGGAGTTTCCGAAGCACACAAAGGTTGATCATGCGATTGGAGTGTCAGTCTGTTAAGGGAGTTGCTCATAAAAACCCAAAGTAGGTGTGTGGTTACAGATAAGGGCTTTTACGTCATTTTACTATAAAACAAACCTTGAATCTTGAACATTTAAGAGGCTTTGAAACACATAGGTATAACTCAAAATCTCAAACCACACCACACAACACAACGATTCATTCCAATTCCAATCTCAACTTGGCCATGGAGCTTCAATTAGATTCCATGGCCGCTTCCATTGGTGTTTCCGTCGCCGTTCTCCGTTTCCTCCTCTGCTTCGTCGCCACCATTCCTTTTAGCTTCTTCTGGCGCTTCGTTCCCGGTCGTTTACCGAAACACTTCTACTCCGCCGCCGTTGGTGTTTTTCTCTCTTATCTCTCTTTTGGATTCTCTTCCAATCTCCACTTTCTTGTACCTATGTTTCTCGGTTACGCTTCCATGGTTGTTTATCGGCCTCGATGTGGTATCATCACTTTCTTTTTCGGATTCGGTTACCTCATTGGCTGGTACAAATCGATACCATTCTATTTCAATTTAAAATTCTCAATTCAATTTTTGTTATGTTTTTTTTACCGTTCAATTTTTTTTTGTAGCCATGTGTATTACATGAGTGGTGATGCATGGAAGGAAGGTGGCATCGATGCCACTGGTAAGTACTTATTGTTTAATTCTGTTTGAAGGTGTGTTTTTGTTGGTTGGTTATTGATTAAAGTGTGTTTTGTTGAATTGGTGTTAGGGGCTTTGATGGTTTTGACACTGAAGGTTATTTCATGTTCTATTAATTATAATGATGGAATATTGAAAGAAGAAGGTTTGCGTGACGCTCAGAAGAAAAACCGGTTGATTGAATTGCCTTCTGTTGTTGAGTATATTGGTTTCTGTTTATGTTGTGGAAGTCACTTTGCTGGTCCTGTTTTTGAAATGAAGGATTATCTTGATTGGACCGAAGGAAAAGGGGTATGCATGTTAATGTTAATTTAGTTTAGGTCGTTTATTTATTGATTCGTTTGTTTCGCATTGCAATGGTGTAGCCGTGTGTTTATAGACTGTTTCAAGGTGAGAATGTGAGTCTAAGAATTAGACTAAGAATTATCCCCAATTCAGTTTTCAATCTTTTTTTTTTTAAGAGTTATCAATTGCCGATGACAGAATGTATCGGCTTGTTTAAATTTTTCTATGCAATGGTGCTATAGTGTTATAGCTGCTTTTGACAATATTTGTACTAAAAAACTTATCTTATAACTATAGAGATTTTTTTAGATTCCACCTTGTTGTAGTGCAATGTTTTTTTCTATAGCTGCTATTTAACAATACTGAGAGAAATTGGTGGATAGAGTTATTCTTTGGTCTTGAAGATGATATCTTGTAAGACTTCCTTTGTTATGTTTCCTGGATGACGGACCCGTCCTATGCATGAACCATTGATTGTTTTGAGGGATTAATTTCCCGAAATTAGGGTTGCGCTTTTGTTGCGAGGTATTTGGTGTTTTTTTTGTTTCTTTTGTTCCCCGTTGTTTTTCTTTGGGGGCTTTATTTTTGGTTGTGTTTTTGTCCATCTTCTAGTTTCTGGTTGTTCTCTTGTTTATATTTGGCTTTTGTTGCTCTTTGTTTTTTCTTGCACTTTCTTTACCTTTTAGAGATGTATAGCACTTCTTCAATCCCATATATTCTTATCTATTATATTATCTATATTTTTCCATTCAGAAAAAAAAAACAAACCGTTTAATATTTTTATTTTTTTGTTGTTAATTTTAGATATGGAAATTTGAAGCGAAAGGACCAAAACCACCATCACCTTACGGGGCGACAATTCGAGCTCTACTTCAAGCTGGTTTTTGCATGGGATTGTACCTAAACCTTGTGCCTTATTTTCCTCTGTCTAAGTTTACCGATCCTTCGTATCATGAATGGGGTTTCTGGAAAAAGTTGGGTTACCAGTATATGTCTGGCCAAACAGCACGCTGGAAATATTATTTCATTTGGTCGATTTCAGAAGCTTCTATTATCATTTCCGGCCTTGGTTTCAGTGGCTGGACTGATTCCTCTCCACCAAAGCCGCGCTGGGACCGAGCTAAAAATGTTGATATTTTAGGTGTTGAGCTTGCAAAGAGTGCAGTTGTAATTCCAGCTGTGTGGAATATTCAAGTCAGCACCTGGCTTCGCCATTGTGAGTTTCGATTCTTTCCTTGCAAGGGTTTATTTAGCTAACATATATCTTTCAACTTTATATTTTGAAGTTTATACCTGTTCAGTTCCTTGGCTATTTCGTGTCTAGGATCTGTTGGATCTAATTAAAATAATCTTTCGTCTTAAGTAACAATGATGCTATTGTTTATGTTATGGCAGACGTTTATGAAAGGCTTATCCAGAGTGGGAAGAAGCCAGGTTTTCTTCAATTACTTGCCACACAGACCGTTAGTGCTATTTGGCATGTAAGTAAAATTTATTTTCATTTTAAGTTGGTCCGTTCTTTCTATTGCTATTGTATTTGGTTTATGATTGTTATTGCTTTAAGTTTACTTGCTATCTTTGCAAAAATGCATATGTAGTTTCTTAGGAATAACTAAATGAGACAAGTTCAATCATCACTCTTGTGATAAGAGTTAAGACTAAAATATACATATGTTAACTTCTTCCACGGCATGTTTATCAACAAAAGATATTATCCAATTTAGCAAGCTAATGAAGAAGGTTTGCCATGAAACAGCTTTGCTGTGCTGCTATCTTGTACAGTTAAATTGAATCCATGCTTTACGACGATGTTGTTTAATAGCCGCTTGCGGAATTTGGGCCACGACTGTTCTGTGATACTCTATTTAGTATATTATGTTGACAAATAGCTGCTATAGTGACACTAGCATTATTGCATAGTGAAAATTTAACAATATGCTATTTTCTGCTATCTGCAATTAACATTTTGACGTTTGTTATTTCAGGGACTGTATCCTGGATACATTATATTCTTTGTTCAGTCAGCATTGATGATTGCCGGTTCCAGAGGTATAAATATTTATTTATGCTTATTTTTAGTTCTTTCTTCAGTTAATTAACATGCGTTGCTGTTTTCTTTTCAAACAGTCATTTATAGATGGCAGCAAGCCGCGCCTTCAACAATTAAGAATATCTTGGTGTTCAGTAATTTTGCTTTCACGATTTTGGTTCTAAGTTATTCATGCGTTGGTTTCATGGTTTGTTCCCTCTCTCTTTCAGTCTCTGTGCCAAACACACATTAATATTCATATGTTCAATTTGTTTGCTCATATTTACAACAATTCTGAGATTTTTTTACAAGTTTTTTTTTTAATGTTTTTGTTGCTGTGTTTGAATAGGTATTAAGTCTGCATGAAACTCTTGCCTCATACGGAAGTGTGTATTTTATTGGAACCGCTCTTCCGGTTGTTATCATCCTTCTCGGCAAAGTAATCAAACCTGGAAAGCCTGCCAGATCGAAACCTCGAAAAGAAGAGTGAGGTAACCAGCACACTTATTCTCTTCGGCGTTTTCGAAATCAAATTAGGATTGTGGGAGAGATGCTGGATCTTCAGTTTCCACGGGTTCAGCTCTGGTTTTCAATGTATTGTTACAGCTCCATTAGTCTTGAAAATGCTTGACCGTTTTATATTTTTGACTTTAGCATTAAATTGTATTTTTATTGTTAGAAACATCATGTTGAAAGGTTGATAAAAGTAATTATGAAAGAAACGTTGCGAACATCGTGAATTTCTGTCATCTCTGATTATTGCAAGCAAAAACTCATGAACAATGAAGTATTTTTCAAAATGTCATTATTCATAATTTCATATAACTTCATCAAACAAAATGTATTATTCTTAAGATGTTGATGATGCTTAAAATTGAATCAAAACAGTGCTGAACATGTTTCTGTATGATTATAGAATTCATAAATAAAACTAAACTCTGAAGTTCCAATATAAAATTAACCGACAAACCAGTGTACTCATATGTAAAGTTCCAAAGCCTCATTCATTTTACATTTTTAACTTTGTTTGTACCTATTGATAAGTTTCAAAATGTACAAAACTGGTCGAAATCATAACAGGCTTGGAAATGCAATTTTACTACTAATAAACACCTCTTTTCACTTTTGTTTTTGTCTTGTTTCTCATTTGACAAGACACTAATTGAAGATTCTTATTGCATAGTAAAATGAAATGCTTGGAACTCAAAAGAGACACTGCCCTTGCAACAAGACAAGGAAGGAATATAATCTTTCTTTTCTTGGTGTGGACCGCAATTTTCTCAGATTAATCCTTCGGTTCGAATAACACTAAACTTTTAAGTGGATAAGGCTTCAATAAACAACAAAACCTACGAAACACAAATTTGACAACTAAATGCTGCCTCTAGGTTTTTTTTTTGTGTTGAAACTTATCTCTTAGCCACAATTTTATTTGTCTTCTGTCCCTATAAGTTACTTATACCATAAAAACTGTTTAAGTTAATCTCTTTAATATTTTTGCAGTTGTAGAACACATACTAAAAAAAACAGAAAACAAAATAGGACAATTAAGAGTACTTTCTCTTGACATTAACTTCTTCATCCTCTTAATAGTTTTGAAAACAATAGGACACAATAAATTTGACAGAGACTTTCTAGCCATCCAAGTAAAAGAAAACCTCCCTCATATGATTTTACTACCTTTTTTCTTTCTTCTCTTCATCTTCTGACTCTTGTACACTGTCCCTTCATAATCTCCTTTTTTCTCTTTTTCATATTCTATTAGTAATACTTCTATTTTTCACCTTTATGTTTTTTCATTTTTACCTACAGCTGGTTTTCACCAACTTCTAAATTATACCAATTTTACTCCTTTGGTTTTTCATTAACCTTTCTCAAGAAAGAATAAGCTTGTTCTTTCTTTCTTCTTCCTTCTTTCGAAGGAACCAATCACTTCTCCGAAACAAAACTTGTAGTGCAGTCAAAGGTTTCAACAAGGTCAATGATGATCAACATGTTTTCAAGAGACAAAAAAAGTGATATTAATAGTCATAGTTATAGCAATCCAAATGTAGCTGAATGGGAATTAAGACCAGGAGGAATGTTGGTACAAAAGCGAAATTCGGATGCGAATAAAAGTTCTTCATCTATCATCAAAGTCAAAGTGAAATATGGATCATCCTCTCACCAAATTCATATCAGTTCTCATGCAAGTTTTGGTACATTAATTCATATCAGTTCTTAATTTAATTTTAATTGATTATTAATAAGTTGATTGATGAATATTATCATTTTTTTTGTGGTGCAGGGCAATTGAAGAAAATGTTGACAGAATCTACAGGGTTGCATGTTGAGGATCAGAAGATAATTTTCAAGAAAAAAGTGAGAGATTCAAAGTCATATCTTGATGTTGAAAGAGTCAAAGATGGATCAAAGTTGGTTTTAATTGAGGACATTGAGAGTAGAGAAAGAAGAGTATTAGAGAAATTAAAAATTGCAAAGAAGGAAAAAACTTCAAAATCCTTAATTAAAATTAACTTAGAGGTTGACAAATTAGCCAAAAAGGTACATATTTTATTTGTTACATTTATTTATTTTATTTCATCATTGTAAAAACGATGACTTTAATAATTCAATGAAATTGGGTAGGTTTCAGATTTGGAGGAAATAGCTTCTAAGGGTGGAGTTATACAAGAGTTAGATGTAGAAAGTTTAACAGAAAGTTTGATGAGAATATTAATTACATTGGATGAAATTTATGGTGAAGGTGAACTGAAAATGCAGAGAAAAGAACAGGTAACTAACTACTACTATTAATTTTCATAACTGAAATTTTTATTAATTTGTTGATATAATTTATGTTATGAAAAAGTTAAAATTAATGTGAAGGTTAAGAGAGTTCAGAAGCACATTGAGACTCTAGATATGCTAAAGATGGTAAAGACAAATGAAGGTAACAATGTGGATTGTGGCAAGAAACAGGAACAGCCTTTGAAACATTGTGAATCAGTTGTAGTAACAACAAAATGGGAAACATTTGATTAAGAATGGATTAAACCGTGTTCTATATGTGTGAGTGGTTTTGTTTTCTGTCGGTGTGAGAATTTGGCTTTTGAGTAGGGACCATGCAACAATCAATTTAGATGTGTATGGTAGAGGGTAGTATTAATTTTGAGATAAATGATATTGATGCTACTTTGGACTATTTCTTGTCTTTTTCATGGTATCCGATCTAACAATATTTGTTATCTGAGTTAGGAATTACGAGTTTGAATACATTCTATCTATTCGAGTGGAGTTGAGCTGGGTCAAACATTGAATTTTTTTTTTTGAGTCGAGTCAAACATTGAATATATATTTTTTAGTAGAAATTTGAATCTTAATTCAAATAAAATTTGAAGTTTGGGTGTTTATTTTTGCTGTAGACAGAAACTCTTTGTCATTTGTCTGTCACTAACTAGTTCTGTTGTTTTCTCCCCACTTATGCCAAAGCCAAACTGATGAAACTGATAGTGATATTCACTATTCAATGTTAGGATATATTATTGTCTTGACAGCTGTGTCCTATGGGATTCTGGGGGTGTTAAATGTTTTCGAATTTAAGTACTTTTTATTTTTATTTAAAAAGTAGTATCTTTATTCGCAATACACATTTAGATTCTATTTGGTAAGACATTTTTTAAGCTTATAACTTATAGCTTATAAGCTCATATGACAATAAAATACCTGTTTGGTAAAGTTTTTTTTATCACGAGCTTATAACTTATTTTATTAGCTTATAACTTATTTTTCATACACTATTTTAAATAGTGTTTTAGCTTATAGGTTGTACCTTATCATTTTTTCTTCCACTTTTATCTTTATTATTTTAACTAAAATTCACCACTATCTTTTATAATTTATTATAATTTAAAATAAAATAATAATAATTAAATATTTTTTATATCATTTTATTTATCAACTAATTAAACCGCTAATTTTACCAAACACTTCAATTAGCTTGTCAGCTATAAGTCATCTGCCATAAACTATATGCTATAAACTATTAGTCACTAGCTATCGGTCATAAGCTATAAGCTATCAGCTAACTTATCAATCAACCGCTATTTTTACCAAACAAAGTCTAAATGAAAGCTTTTCTAATAGAACTAGCTTTATTCGTATACGTCCAGAATCAAAATTTGAATTTCTTATTTGAAAAATCTTATGCTTTTTCACTTGAGCAGCAACTCATGTACGTGGTCCAATAGATTGTGATTGGAGTAGAATAATTTTGATTGGGCTTTAAAGAACCCGACCGACTGACTCTGTAGTGCGTTAATAATACAAAACAAACTTGGATGCAAAAGGGCAGGGTCAAGTGGAAAGCATGTGATCCAACTTTGCTCAATACTCCTTAGTCACAATTCGTTGAAGAACGAGACGAGTCACATGTTATAGGAGTAATTGAAGTCACTCCAAGTCTCATAGGTAAACTACATTTCTTGTCATGGAGGATAACTCAACCCGTTCACCCCATATCAGGTCAAAGCTAGGAGGAGAATGGCCAAATTTGTAGGCTCTATAACCAATCTTGTTAGTAACCTCTAGGCCAAGTAACCAAGCCTATAAATACTCTTGTTAGACTATTGGGTAATTCATTATTTCTCTTTTAAATATTTGAGCAAAGCCATCTTGTACATCTCATCCTTGGCAGGGTGCCCCTTATTGTGCTCACTCCAAATATTCTTGGTGTCTACCACAGGGTTCAGTAAAGCTAACTCAGATTGCACTCTCATTTGAAACACTAGTTTTCCTAATCACTGTTACACAATGGTGCGACGTGGCAACCAAGGAGTCTTAGCGAAGATACACACCACTATGGAAGAGTTATGTCACAACAACGAAGTCCTGCAAATTTTTTTTTTTATTTCTAGTAGACACGAGGAAGACCCACCATAGGGTGTGGAAAGCTTTAATCCCTAACCCCTCTTTTATGAAATCTAGATATCATCCACACCAGAGAACTTCAAGTCGTCGCGCTGGTAACCTTTGATGGAAAAAGTATCCCACTAAAGCATATAATTGTTATTAACACTAAGATGGCAATAATAGGTGCCACTGACTCCCTAAATTGTATGCTTATGTTTAATACATTTAAGGTGGCGATATTAAAGTGATATATGAACCTACCTTGGTTTTCGATAAATAGCTACCAAGACCTCTTGAGTAAGTTGATTCATCAATTCTTAGCCAGAAAATATCGAAGGGTCTCAACAACCAATTTGTTCAATGTCCGCCAGGGACACATTAAATTTTTGAGAGAGTACCTCATCAAGTTCAATGAGGTGACCAACAAGGTGGTCCATACCAAATAAGAAATGTTTGTGGGAACTTTTCAGAATGGTTTAAAAGCCAAACATTTCAATGAGTCACTTGGTCAAATGCATGTTGCATCTATGGAAAATATTTTGGCACAAACCGAGTATTACATAAAGGAAGAAAAAAATCAACACGGAGTCGAAGGCTAGATACACAAAATTGTGCAATGTCGAGGGATCTAACTCCTATGAACAACAACACAAAGACCATTACACGTTGCTTGTTCGTGACATGGAAACCTTAAAACACAACATAATTCTACATAGAGCTACAACCATTTAACACTAGGAGAGAGAAAATTTTCACGAAGTGCTTCAAACTCAAAAGTGGGACGTAACGAGAACAAGGCAAACAAGTGGTGTAAATACCACAAAGTGGAATGCTATCATACACATGCCTTTCATTGTTATACCCCAAATTTTGACCCCTATATCACATCATCATTCTAAGAGCATCAACATTGATTATCTAACCATAACCTATTTCAACTTTGGTCTTTGTCAAGATGCAGATGAACTAGGTTTTCTTCCAGGCAGAAATCAGAGTTTCAAGGGATTGATCAGTCAAAGTTTTGGATGGATCCTCCATATATCAAGTATTCTTGTCATCAAGGATATCACATTGGATCAAGAATGAATCCATTTGAGGTTGTCACCCAAGAAAGAAGAATAGTGCAGTACAAGAACCCCAATTAGGGTTTCTGATTGGGAAAGTCAATTGTAGTTTGACTTTTTTTATCTAAAGGGTGTTCCAAAGCATGAATCATGGTCCATGAGGGTCATATTACCCAAGGAAGTATACCCAAGAAGTTTCAAGGCCTCAGAGAACCCAAGACACCAACAATCGATTCAGAGGTTTTCGATTGTTCGGTTCGTCTGACTAAACAGTCAGCGCATTGACCAACAGGGTTTTAACCCAAAATTGAAGCCAAATATGTTTTCAACATATTTTAATATCTAATTATGAAGTTTGGTGACCAATTGATTAAAAATTTAGAAGTAATTGAAAAGTCGGGAAATTAGGGTTTTAAAAAGGGCCAGGCCATAACTCCTTAACCACACACCCAAATGGAGTGGTTCAAAGCTTGTTGGAAAGGTCTCAATGAGTTATTCAAAAGTGATATATGTACTCATGAGTATAAAATTCATGTACTTTTAGTTATGAGCAAAAACAAGGCAAGAGGGGGAAAATACACAGAAATTTCAAGAATTCTTGACTTGTAAGTCAAGTTTTCAACATTTTCACAAGGTTTTTGACCCATTTTCAAGTGGAATGGGTTACTACCTCAAACATAAATGTTGTAGTACCTAATAGAATATTTCTAAAAAGTACAAGTGGGTTCCATAACTCTTCATGGTTAGAGAGAACCAAGGTCCACAAGTTGGCAAAAACTCACTTTTGCAAAACTAGTTCAGCATGAGTGTTTTGATTCCAAAGCTTCCCAAATCAATTATAATCAAAGACTAAGCCTCATTTCTGATGTTTAAATTATTAATTAACATGTTTAACATCAACTCCCACGAAATTGGCATAAGAAATGAAAAAAATAATTGTTTAATGCAAGTTGCAAGCATGAATAATGTAGAAAGAGAAAAATGGTGGTTGCCCCTCTTCACATCATCAACTTGGATGCAACCAGTCACCTCCTACCCTCTAAAGCATGATTAAAATAACCTATAGGGCATGAATAAGCTCTTGGTAGAGTGACTTGAGGTTAGAAGTGGAGATTGCATTGAAAAACTCCATGATTTTCATGATGGAAGGCTAAACTTGACAATTTGCTTCACTTCTGCCCATACCTTGATCCAAGGCCTTTCGCTATAAATATAACTCACCTCTTACATCCAAAACACACAAGTTACATGCTAAGAACCAGCTGAAACTCTTCCTCCCACTCAATCTCAAGTTCTTGCCAAATTGTGCCAATTTTCCAAAACTTCACAAAATCTGCCTTGCATTTTCACTTCTCAAACCTTTTCCAAACACTTTCTAACATAAACCACATTCCAAACACATCACAAATGATGCACTAGAGCTGTCCAAACCCTCACCTTAGTCAGAAACGCATCCAATCAAAAAGTCAATGGTTGAATCCTCTTTTGTTGACTTTTCTGCACTTTAGAGAGCAGCCACTGATCACTTGCACTTCCACACTCTCTAAGACCTCTAACACTTCATAAATAACATATATAAATTGTCCATGATGGTTCCACACTTCTGTAGCAAGGATTGAGTGAGTTGGCTTTAGAAATCTTTGGATTTTGGAAGTTTTTCTTCACTTACAAGGCATTCTGCCCACCAAATGGATTGAGGGTTACTTGAAGCACATATTGATCATCATTGGAGCATTCACAGACCTTGGAAGAGCTCTCAAGATCTCTGGTTTTCTTATTTCTCAAGCTGGCTTCAAGAGGTAAGCCTAAAACTCATAAATGTGAACTTTCCACTTGCATTTCACATGCTACCATGACTTCTAGCTATGATATTGTGTTGTACATTGTTTGAAAATATTTTATGTATTTTATGTGTCATGTATGAACCATTTCTTGTAGCAAAACTTGTAATTTTTGGACTGTCAAAAAACCAGGTCACAAACTAGGTCCACCCTAGTCATTTTTTGCATGATGCATCCAATCTGTCAAACCATGTGTGAATTTCTTGATTTATTTTGTGATAACCTCTAT